AGAAATACATGAAACAGTTTCATTAAAATTTCATTAAGTAATATATAAAACAATTTCATAACCATATATGAAACAACTTCATAAAAAAAGTATTATATGAAACAATTTCATGGAAAAATTTCATAAGATTAAACAATGAAATCGATAAATAAGAGTAGTTTTTACGATTTTTACAAATTGGAGTGGTTTTCATTTAATCGTCTCTCTCTCTCTCTCTCTCTCTCTCTCTATATATATATATATATATATATATATTAAAAGAACAACTAATAATGATAAGGTGGATTCATATATCAAATGTAATATTGATTCTTATTAATTTGATATATAAATATAATCATCGATTCATTWAGYTMAYTTCAGTAATTTTAAAAAAGATTATTGTCACCATGCAACGCATGGTGTCAAACACTAGTACACATTAAAAGGGAATTGATTTACTGGTTCTCTTTAATTATGATTGATACAAGGGTGTATATCTCTTCTTACTGTTCTCACCATAACTTTTATATAAAATAAGTATATTTCAACTTCTAAAGGCATCATTGAGAAGGAAGAATAATGAAAGGCGAAGGGGTAAAGAACCATAAATCATGTCAAGATGAAGTTTCAGTTGCTGAGGCAAATAAACATATGCTTCTGGAATTTCTTTGATAAATACTCCATCCTTTGTGTAAACAAAGTGTCAGACAGAACCACAAGGGTGGTGTCTGATTGGTTTGAACTTGACTCCAAAGATCAAAAGTATCAAGAAGTCCAATGTTTAAATCCAAAGAGAAATAAAAATCCCCTTGTGGCCACGGAGGTTAAAATGTTGTGACTCCGGGTTATCTGCAAAACAAGTGGTCGTTCTAGAATTAGTAGACTCGCATAACGGGTTGGATATCCAGGTTAATAATAAAAAAAAGTGTCAGACAGCCAAAATAAGAAGAAAAAGGAATGGAAACACAAAAAACAACTTTAAATGGAGATTCTACATCATGCCCAACATAGTTCTTGTGATTTCCTTACACATCGACCCACTTTCTCTCTATTCATACTGCAACCATAACAATGCAACATTTCCATTTTTAGTAAGTTTCAAGATACAACTACCTAACCACAAGGGTGGTGTCAGATTGGTTTGAGTTTGGACTCCAAAGGTCAAAGTGGAGGTCTCAGGTTCAAATCCAAGGAGGAATAAAAATCCTCTTGTGGCAACGGAGGTTCAAATACGGTGACTCTGAGCTACCTGCGTCGCCCTACGATTAGTCGGCTCGCATAGAGAGTTGAAATCCAAGTTAATAGAAAAAAAGATACAACTACCTATTTCTATTTGCCCATCTTTATTATTGATTGTAATCAACAAGATTTCTTTATTTTGTCATTCTTGATGACATGTCAAGCATTTCACATATAGTCAAATAGGGTCGGGTTCCGTGTGAGAAGGGAAGTTATAGTGAGAAGCGTAAGAAGAGATCTCCACCCTTGGATCAATCCTAATTGAATGTAAACGCTAATGAGGTGCACCGAGATGCACCGGATCAATTCCCTTCTAAAGCACAAGTCACAGGTGGGCATGAGATTAATAGTGATCAAGGGGTCAGATCTCTTTTTACATTTATCACCATAACTTTCCTTCTCACATGATCCTTCGCCTAGTCAAAATATATATAAAACCGTGGGGACGTTTTCATTTAATTGAGGAAAATATCTAGAAAAAATTAACACTTGCAGACGATGACATACAAAAATAGACTATAAAAACGATGCACAAGAGAATAAATGTGGGTATTACCGTAGCTTCCATGTTTGCACGAGATTCATCACTGGGGCTAGAAAGCATTGATATAATGCTCAAGACTATGCTCTCCACCTGAAAATATTACATTTTGAATTTACTATATACTACTACTGATGATAGGAGAAACACGGAAACTAGGCAGAAAAGGATAAGGCAGCAAATTAGTGGAAGAGCAAGTGACTACTCTGATCAAAGAATAGCAGGTGTGTGAGTATGAGAAAACAACGCGTTCCATTGAAAACCACAAGAGATGTTCATGGAACATGAGGCCAACAAACAGAATACATTTTCCCTACTTGGAAACTAATAAAATTCAATTGTATAGAAGGGTCAAGCCTTGGAGCAGCCAGACTAGTCCGTTGTGATTCAGATCATACAAAACAACCCATATAAAAATAGTGAGGAGCGGCTGTATACAAAGGTCCTAGCAAATATGAGGGCTTTGGAGTATCCAGATCACCCTCTTATGCAGTTGTATTGAAAGTAGTATGTGGGTCTTTATTTTACAACATTGAATTATGGCAACTTCGTAGCAGTCCTATTACTCCAGCAATTCAAATACGATTTTGAATCTTATAGTGTCATCTTTATTGAGCAGTTGTTTAGTAGTGATCAAGCAGAGGCGTTGGATTGGTTTGTGAATGCCATCATTTGCTCTAGTGACCTTGTGGGGTTGAGGTCGGGTAGCAGGTGGTGGAGAAGTATTTAAGTAGTAGGAATGATGTAGGTTAACCGAAATGAGATGGTCAACCAAAGTGATTTGTTGTGGAGTGATGAAGGTTTGGTTGGAAGAAGCAATTGGAGCAGATGAAGGAAGTTGGGTTTCCATTGGGTCGAGAAGGTCTGGTATCAAGTTGGAAATAAACTTCTGTAATTCTGAATGAATAAATACAAGCAGTAGCACTACATTTGTTTATACATGTTGTGAGGATAAAGGTTTCCTGCATTTTTTGAGAGTTAGATGCTGCATTTTGTTGGGGTTTGATCATGCACATGCTTTGTGAAGGAGTCCTGGTGACTTAGTCTAATAATATCCTTTTGTTGATAAAAAGTCACATAAATTAAACTCAATTAAGAGCACGATAGGAATAAGATATTGGATGATGAAATGTGCTTAATGAGTACTATGGCCATACATGTATTGACCATCTAGCTTACAACTAAATATAAAAAAAGTTGTGGAATATGTACATGTACTGGCTGTCTGACCACAAATGTTGAAGCTAGTAACAGAAACTGATCATGTTTTGCTGAAACAGAATAAGTTATCACCTTCTAAAACAAATAAATTGAAAATTTGAACGAAGAACATCAATACAGAAGGGTATATAAAGCATTAGACCGGTTATTATCAGACACCACCTAGTGCAGTTGTGAAGAATGAATACAAGAAAAAGTCAACACATTGCTAGAGCATTTCTTGGGATGTTTGGTGTTTGCAAAACAATGAGGATCGACAAATAAAGGGCTGCCTTATTACTAGAAAAGAAAAATAAGAATCAAGATTTAAGAAAAAAACCACTTGAATCCCACTTATCATGTTGCAGACGAAGTGTTCAACATGGATCTGCAGAGATCTAGACATTGCATTGCTAGAGAATCCTAATCTAAAACAAACGGATAAAAAATACCATTGTGAAAGCACCAACAACAAAGTCATGTTCCATACATAAAGTCCTCCCGAGGGTGGAAGAGCATTAACTGCTACTATGAAACATAATTAACATGCATGGCCCAAAACTTGTCAAAGATGCTTGGGCTGGCTCCTGACGAAACTTGCTACTTCAAACTAGCAGTGCTTTAACAATTCACTAGTTCATCAAAAAGAGTGTTTTTCTAGAAGATATAGGAACCACAATTGAATGGATTATACTTTTGCCTCCTACCCTGCCCACTGATAACTCTTGTAATTCATCGTAAGCAAGTGTGGGGTTTGAAAATCAAGAACTAGGCTACAAGTTATCTTGAACAAATTCCCAACTGATTGAGCAAGCTCAACTTGGCTTCATTGAAAGATTATTATGACTACTGCAGATCAAAAGATACTTGAGTGGTTGGAATACTTTCGAATGAACTGAGTTCCATATTATTCTTAGTTGATGGAAATAGAACAAAAGAACTATTGACATTATTAGAATTGACGACAAGGGTAGTATTCCTGTTATATGATCTTCAGCGCTATTGTGAAAAACTTAACAGGAACACATACACATCGACCTACACCTACACCCACGATCCCACATATTGATTTAAAATAATAAACCTCATACCGTATGGACTGGTGTCCAGCGCTCACTTGCAAGCTCGTAGCCATTATGATATCACCAGGGGGATAAAGAATTGAAAGACCTTGCCATCAGAGTAAATTGTACAACACCAAAGAGAGATACATCTTTCTTGTAAGAGAGAAGGTGTCAGGTGTAGGATGATAAGGAGAAAAGGAAAAGAGACCAATAATTGAAATAAGCACATATACAGCAAACTAACCGTTCGGATGCCAAGTCAGAGGTAAATCTCACTGTTTGAGGGCTGTTTGGATAATTTGGTGGAAATGTCATTATAGCATTGAAGAAACCCCCATCACTAAAACAACACATCCAAAAATCAGAAGTGAAAAACAAACTCCTCATTTTGAAACAAGGGCGACCCCGAAAATCATTATAATGATCAAACTATCCTTCTTGTATACCTACAAACTTTTTAAACCTATACAAAAATGACAAATCAGACCACTGTAACATAAGCATAATAAGTTGATAACAATAACCGGAAAACAATGTTTCACGAAGAACAATGCATAGCGATGGGTTTTGTGATCAATCAAGGTCCTAATCCCCAACTAAGTTGAAACCAAGCAAGAATTCCAAACAGATACATCCAACTAAAAGGCAAGACTAAAACAAAAACCCTAACAAGTAAATCACGAATATCATCTGAATACGCCATGATCGATGAAACCCAATGAACCTCCATTCTACCAATATCAATTCATGCATCAAATTAGACATAAGGTTCCAAACATTGAATAGGAAGGGCAACAGAACAAGTCACTACATTGTATCAAGAGGCCATTTACTTTATCAACTTGTGACCTGTATATAAACAACATGACTTCTTAAACCCCAGAACCCAATTAAATGCAATAAACGGACAAACGATACCATCGGAAATTCCCAATTGACAGCGTAGGAAAATCTAATAGCCGAACACATGAAAAAGAAATTGACCACAAATAGTAAAGGAACCAGAACGACCTCATTTCCATACAACAAAGCTCCAATTACAACATCAAAAAAAACACGAAATTCGATCTTCTAATGATAGAACAGATAAAAACTCACTAAAATGTACGAGGAGGACCGATAATTATGACACTCCATTCGAATAGATTGCTTTCATCGACAAGACCGGCCTAGAATCCGTCGACAGGGTTTTCACAAAGATCTGCAAAAACATAGCACGGATCCTCATAAACTTGTTTGCTTGACATAATTACCAACTCCACCACCACTGCCAATTCGACCATTGCCAACCACCCCCACTGATTGCTATCACCCTCAATTTTACTCTATACAAAATGAGCTCATTCTGATTATCATCAATTATATCAATTTCCTCCTAATTTTGGTTAATTGACATAATTATATTTTAATCTTCAATGAAAGAAATGGACATAGCATATAAAATGAAAGAGATAAGAAAATATCAAAATTCAGAATATCTTGAAACGGGGACCGACCTATATTGCTGCCAATGGTGTCACGTGCCATCATATTATTTCTTAATTGAAGGATAAAAAAAATTAGATTCATGAAAGATGTAACTGTATTAATTTGTTGGGTGCCACCGTATGTATTTTGAAACTATAATATGAACAAATTTTCTTTGGTAGAGTTAGGTTGCAAGACTTTTATTCCATCCATATCCGAGTTCGAATCTAGTTAGTGTCATTTTCTTAGTCAAATGGTATCACAATTTGAAATTTTTACCCTACATTTGTTTCTTACAATCATTTGAATTTTTTTTATCTATATTTGTTTCTTAAAACCAAATGGTGTCACTGTTTAAAAAAAAAAATCTAAGTCCGTCCATGTCTTGAAAGAAAATATTTTTTTGGAAACAATAGAACTTTACAACATAAAATATTTTTTAGAAAAACATAACTTTAATCATATTTTTTATATCAGACATATAAGGGTATGAAATATATTTGATGTGTGAAACAAAGTGGAATATGACAGACTAAAAACTCATTGTCTTACATTTGTCACGATATTATACTGAAATGAAGGGTGAAATATATTTGACATATCAAAATAGTGAGAAAAAGAAAAAAAACGAAATATTTCTCATAATTGTATAATGTATTATAAAAAATATGTTATATATCAATATTTTGTATTATAAAATATGTTACACATCATAAATGTATTATATAATTATTAATCCATATTGTATAAAAATATTATTATATATTAATATGTATTACAAATTTTAGTAAATACACTCTAGGAAATATGTATAAATAGCATAAAAATAATGTGTAAATATTTATAATTAAATTTATTCAAATATTTAGTTGATTTATTTGGTTATAAGTGTTATGCAATAATGATTTTGGCATTACCTACAGGGTTATTTGATCATTTTAATATATGTATCTCTTGTTCAGTTTATTAACAATTATACAATAACTAATGTGATTTTATCCTCATTGCATCGATTAATATATAGATAACAAGCCTTTTCAATATTATGTAGTTTAGGGATTTTTTTGTAGCTACGGAATGGTTTGGTGCAGAATGATTAAGTGGTCATGATGATTAAGTGAGTCTCATGATATAATGTAAAATGAAATATAATTATTTGATAATTGTTTACAATGAAATTAAGACGTTGAATGGTCAAGAGAGACTCATGATTCAAAAATCATTCAGAAGATTTTTTAATCATTAAGAATCAAACATTTTTTTTTTTTGCATAACAAGATTCACCTAATCACCTCTTGACGATTCAGAAATTGTCACTTAATGAAATTATTAAAAGATAAACAAATGACCCTTAGGGGCTGTTTACTTGTAGCTTAATTAAGCTTATTAGTCTATCTGGCTTATTCGCACAGCTCATTTGGGTTGTTTATTTACGGCTTATTCGCACATAACATGACTTAATTGAACAGATAGAAATGGTGTGTTATCCTCATTCAGACACAAAAATGACATATTTACCTCTTATTTAAAGCACCATCTTCTTCCCAAATGAGACATCTCATTGTCAACCTCTTTATGATTGCTTGTTTTGATGTTCAAATAATTAATATTAGGGGGTAAATCGATCATTTATGTTATTCAGACTATTGGTTCAGATAAAAAAATAAACAACACCACTCATTTATCCAAACAAACAAATTTATCCATATAAAACTTAATAAAAAATTTAATAAACAACCCCTTAATCTTGTTCACTTACTAAGCGAACTCTATAGGCCATATGGCCATGACAGTCAATCAAAATATTTAAGGGTTAAACGCAATTCAAAAAAATAGAAGGGGTTGAATTGGAAATAGAAGAGCCCAGTTGGTAAAAAATTTGAGAGATGCTAGGAACCTCCAGAAGGAACGAGAAGGGACGAAAATCGTAAGTCAAACAGGTCAGAAATTTTAGAGACTCTTTCCCAGCCGTTGATTCATATTTGGCAGCTAATATCAACGGTCTAAGATCAAGCTTAAGAAATTTCTAGAAAATAATAGCAGTATAAAAACCAATACCCACCATCAACCTCCTCCATCTCGCTGATAAACAGTGTTGTAACTTTCTTCCCATAATCTCTTACAATTTCCTGCGTATTTTTCTGTGATCGAGTCGACGATATGGTCGGAAAAGGTGAAGGACCAGCAATTGGAATCGATCTAGGTACGACGTACTCGTGCGTCGGGGTATGGCAACATGATCGTGTTGAGATAATTGCTAATGACCAGGGGAACAGGACAACGCCGTCTTATGTTGCTTTTACTGATACTGAACGTCTGATCGGTGATGCTGCTAAGAATCAAGTCGCGATGAATCCCATCAATACCGTTTTTGGTAAGCTTTTTCATGCTTTACTCTGTTTTATAGTTTTTCTGCGTTGATTTTGTGTACGTTGTTGGCTTTTGTGTTTATTGTTCTATATGCTTCATGCTAAATTAATTTTCAGTTTTCGATATCGTATATTCTAAGATTATTTGTGCTAAATGAATGATTTATCAGCATAAGTCTTTCACAGATTGACTATACACTATTAGCTTTTTAAGATTGCTATTAGTATATGTCTCCTTCAATTTTATTGCAAAGTTTTAATGTAATCCTTTTGCTTGTGATAAGCGATCAATCCCTAAGCTGTGCATGCATCATGCATGGGTTTCGTTGTACAATGCGATGGGAATAATGGTACAGTTATTGTATTTGAAGCTCGTAACTGAATGATTTACCCTAGAAATCCATATTTACTTAAATATGATGGAAAATTGTGCTTGTACTGGGATATTTTCTGGGGAAAGCATTGTTACATTTGGCACTGTTAGACGGATGAGGTTGGCGTTGTCTAAATCACAGGGGTTCTCGTTTGAACCTCCTCTCATATATATATATATATATATATATGAGAGGTAGAATGTCGAATATTTATTTGATTCGTCATTGTTAGAGATCACATAAAAAGAATTAGGCATCCTTTTGAATTCCTCTTCCAATGTCTCCTTTAAAATAGGGCATCGGGTTAGAATCATCTTCTATTCCCAATTAACAATGATACATTGTCTTGCTGATGTCTACGTGCCTGTGTTTTTCGTTTACTACCTTTCTGAAAAGAGGTCTTTTGTAATTCTGAATTTCAATAAATTGGGTTTCTGCAATTGACATTGTGATTTGCTTGTGTGACTTCTGGTATTTACACTTGTTAATGCTTGAATAAGTACTTACAAGAAGCTTGGTTTGATGGCAGATGCTAAGCGATTGATCGGCAGAAGATTTACTGATTCTTCTGTACAGAGTGATATGAAGCTATGGCCGTTCAAGGTCATTCCTGGCCCTGCAGACAAGCCAATGATTGTTGTTACTTATAAAGGAGAAAATAAGGAATTTGCAGCAGAGGAGATTTCTTCAATGGTTCTCACAAAGATGCGGGAGATTGCAGAGGCTTATCTTGGCACCTCCATCAAGAACGCTGTTGTCACTGTCCCTGCTTACTTCAATGACTCTCAACGTCAAGCTACAAAGGATGCTGGTGCAATTGCTGGTCTCAATGTGATGCGGATAATCAATGAGCCAACAGCTGCAGCTATTGCATATGGTCTTGACAAGAAGGCAACTTCTTCTGGGGAGAAAAATGTGCTTATTTTTGACCTTGGTGGTGGTACTTTTGATGTTTCCCTTCTCACCATTGAAGAGGGTATTTTTGAAGTGAAGGCTACAGCTGGTGACACTCACCTAGGAGGTGAAGACTTCGACAACAGGATGGTGAATCACTTTGTCCAGGAATTCAGAAGGAAGAACAAGAAAGATATTAGTGGAAACCCAAGGGCCCTCAGACGATTGAGGACTTCATGTGAGAGAGCGAAGAGGACTCTCTCTTCTACCGCTCAAACAACCATTGAGATCGATTCTCTGTTTGAAGGTATTGATTTCTATTCAACCATCACCCGTGCCCGATTTGAGGAGCTCAACATGGATCTTTTCAGAAAATGTATGGAGCCTGTTGAGAAGTGTCTGAGAGATGCCAAGATGGACAAGAGCACTGTCCATGATGTTGTTCTCGTAGGTGGATCTACCAGAATCCCGAAGGTACAACAGCTTTTGCAGGACTTCTTTAACGGAAAGGAGCTTTGCAAGAGCATCAATCCCGACGAGGCTGTTGCTTATGGTGCTGCTGTCCAAGCTGCTATATTGAGTGGTGAAGGTAACCAGAAGGTGCAAGACCTCTTGCTTTTGGATGTGACTCCATTGTCCCTTGGTTTGGAGACTGCTGGTGGAGTCATGACAGTGCTCATTCCAAGGAATACTACAATTCCCACCAAAAAGGAGCAAATATTTTCGACCTACTCTGACAATCAACCTGGTGTTCTAATTCAAGTTTACGAAGGGGAGAGAGCAAGAACTAGGGACAACAACTTGTTGGGGAAATTTGAACTTTCTGGCATTCCTCCTGCACCCAGGGGTGTCCCCCAAATCAATGTCTGCTTTGACATTGATGCAAATGGCATCTTGAACGTCTCTGCTGAGGATAAGGCTGGTGGTCAGAAGAACAAGATCACCATAACCAACGATAAGGGAAGGCTGTCAAAGGAGGACATTGAGAAGATGGTACAAGAAGCTGAGAAATACAAGGCAGAAGACGAGGAGCACAAGAAGAAAGTGGAAGCAAAGAATGCGCTCGAGAATTATGCATACAACATGAAGAACACCATTAAGGATGACAAGATAGCCTCGAAGATTCCTGCAGATGACAAAAAGAAGGTGGAGGATGCTGTTGAGCAGGCTGTGCAGTGGTTGGATTCAAATCAGCTTGCAGAGGCAGAGGAATTTGAAGACAAAATGAAGGAGCTGGAGGGTATCTGTAACCCTATTATTGCTAAGATGTATCAAGGTGAGGGGATGGGTGGTGTCCCTGATATGGGTGCTGATGGGAGCGGTGAAGGTCCCAAAATTGAAGAAGTTGATTAAGTCTTGACATGTCTTGTGGTTTTGTGGCTGGTGACGGATATCTTGTTTTTTGGTATTTGGTGAAAGACTACTTTCTATAGTAGTTGTTTTTGATGTTTGAATGTTTTGGAAATCTAAACATCAATGGAAAAGCACATGCAATTAATAATCCCAAAATTGTCAACCCCTGTTCCTATGCATGCATACGTTGGCAGTGCGATCTGAGACCAGGAGTCGAAACATGAGCGAGTGTCATCATCTAATTCTGAATTGCTGTTACTAGCTAGTATCTTTGTTATATTACCTTCCCCCCTCTTGACTGCCCGTCAATTTTGGTTGCAAGTCTCGAAGAAATGTGAGGAGTGGAGAACTGATACTGGGACCCTGTTTCTTTTAGCTTTTTCTCGAGTTTTATTGATTTTCACGCATAGAAGTAACTTGACTCTGTTGCTGCTCAAGTTTTTAAATTTTTATTGAAAGTTCGGTCTTTTAAGCATGTTTGAAGAATGTATCTGGTTGAAAGATAGAACTCTGACCATCAAATAGAGATGTCCATGGGTACCGGGGTGCTCCAATGCATGTTAGGAAATATGATTGCATATTTGCATGTCCAATGTACAAAGTCGGGTTTTTTTACACGTCTTCACACTTGAATACGGTAGTCTAACTTTGGCACACGCAGACAACTAGATCCTTCGAAATGAATTGGGTTTCGGCTAATTGGACAGACACTTTTCACTTGATGTCTTTATGCTCGGTGTGTCAAATTTCTGGTCAAGACAACCCAGCCTTATGCCTTTCAACTTTCAAACATGTAGGTTGTTGGTTTGGGGTATTATTTCAGTTGGAAGTAACTTGTTCATCTTATGTGCTTTTTAATAATCTTAGGATTCAGCTACCGTGTTAGAAAAAGCTCTTCTAAAACCCTCATAGAAAATTTTAACACTAATATTTATTGGAGTCCAGATCAATTGGGAGTCCCTTGATAACTACTTGATAGACATGAAATTTTTGGGACTTTGCCATTCACCAAGAACTTATCCGGTAAGTGTTTATTTGTAAAATTTAACACTAATTATTTATTTACAGGGTAAGATTTTAGTCCACTAAAACGACATCGTATGCAACAAATTATCCGGTAAGCGTTTACCGGAGTAAGAGTCGTTGCTCTCATTTACCGGGTAAGACGCTTGGTCTTTGTCTCGCTCTTACCGATTAAGATCATTGATCCTTACCATATTCATCCAGTGAGATAATATGACTAGGTAAACATTTACCCAAGTAAGCATTTGGTAAACAGCCTCTTAGACCAATTGGAGTCCCTTGATAACAATCTAAATACAAAAAATATCCAGTCTCGATGTTCTCTACAAAAATTACGGTTTTCTGGGAACCAAAAACCCGTTAATCTAAAAAATAGACGACTGGTATTCAAATGCAACCATCCTTGTAATCATGAAGTTAGTAATGGAAAAATGCAACTTCCGACAGTAACCATTGGACGAAAAATGAATGATGGTTGATGAAGGTTCCACATTCTCCAATTTTTTAAGGTTATCCCATGAACTGGTTTCACAATTTGGGGATTCAAGATGAACTCGTGATCCCCAGTCAAACCAGATTTGGGTAGGCGTTTCTTGCACACGGTTTTTGCCATCTCTACCACCAATATTCAAGACAAGAATGAATGTAAAGCATTACCAACCACATTAAATTCTTCGAGTTGGAAATATCTTCAACCTAATAAATATGAAGGATGTTTGAGGAGAACACAAGACTTCAAAAAAATGGCTCACCAGCAACAGGGAACAAAGACACGTTTAAACAACATGTTGGATCATACAAACCTCAACCACACATGCTACCTAACACAATCGACACAAAATTTTCATAATGCTGTGCAAGACAGATCGAACGTAATCTTGTGATACAAGAAAGAAAAACAGATGCCCAAAAGATTAAACTTGGTTCATCGTTCCTGTACAAACCGCCATTAATTCAGGCGACTAATTCTGGCATCACAACCATATTTGGTTAAATGATGCAAACAAACACTATATTCAAGAAGAAGAAGAAGAAGAAGATAGATCAACGATGGCATAAAAACCAACCATGATCTATTACAAATCACTACCAAATTGTCCTACAAAAAACAAACAAAGACAATTATACACTTTTCTTCTTTAATGTTTCAACAAGCAAAAGAGGGAAACAAGATATCTGTAGAATGCAACTTTTCACTTTAGAGTTTCTACTACTTACTCAGTCTCCAACAAATTTGCAACCTTTACTATTCAGCATACATTTCTGTGGCCTGTTTAGATCAAAAGTGTCAATCTTTTTCAACAAAAGTGATTGCTGCAAATTTCGATTCAACGAGTATATAGTAAGGTTAGCAAAAACAATGAAGCGCTAGCCAGCCCACGTTCTTCCACCATGAATTCTTAAATTAAGGTTTCTGTCAAGTCAACATACGGACGTTCGTTCCAAGGAGAGGGACGAAGGCAAACACGCACCTCATGTTCTTCTGGTCCTTCGCGATGTTTAGGCACAATAATCTCGAGCATTGTTCCACTTTCGTCGCCATAAGCTTCTAATTTCGCATCTTCAGGAATGCGTGTTGGAAGAGAGATTTCTCGAACAAAGTCCCCTGGTGGGCAGTGTTCAGGTGTTGGGTCGGTCAACTTAAAAGTTCGGTCTTTTCTTTTCAGGATTGGCATACACCCGGTGCTGACACAAAAGATCTTGACAATCCCGTGTGAGAGGGTGTTCTTCCAAGTAACTTTTACCCGTTGAAGATCAGCACACGGCAAGCTCACCACAATCAAGAATCCTTCTTCATCTTCGTAAATAGTCTTGGCCGCCGTTACAGGTCCATAGGCGGTTCTCATAACCCCAGAAAACTCGGTCAACCAATGTGGCTCCATAGGATGGGTATCAAGAACCCCATCGGAGTTATCATCATCGTTGCCATGTGGGAAGAAGTTTTTTCTCCGTTTACTGTTGCAGCCGACCAGAAGATCCATCCCATTTCCATTTGCTTCACCATTTACATGCTCTGAAATCTGAGTTGAAAGATTCAATCCTGAACCATTCAGCAATCTTTTTGGTTGATGATTTCCATTAGTCGAATTGTTGTTCCTGATAACAGGAGGCCGCTCAATTTCAAAATCTGTACTAGGAAGATTCCTCCAAGAACCAAAATCGCTAGCATCAAGAGGGATAGCGAAGTTCAAATCTCTTCCTGTAAGCTCCATCCATCTTTTCCTTTCTTCCTCATCTAATCCCATCAAATTTGGGGATCGAACAACTTCAATCCCATGAACACACTGGGGATTGGAGAGACCCCTATAGTGTTTCCTCTGCATTCTGTGAGATCGGACAAAACCCTTATCAGCACTGAAAGGAAATGGTTTTTCACCTTGTCGAGAATGACCATTCATATAACTCCTCAGCTGCATCTTTCCTAATGCATTTCCCGGCCTCTCTTTAAAGGTCCACATATACATATTCTCCATATCGTGCTGAACCAAGAAAACGTCCAACTTCAAATCCGATTTATCATACCCATTCTCCCTATTCACCTTGTTCTTCGATTTCTCATTCAAGGCTGGTTTGAAGTAAAAGTTAAAGAAAAACCAAGCTCCCCATACGCTATCAAGCCGTTTAGCACATTTTTTTCCAATCTTTGTTACATTGATATTAGTTTCCACCTCATAATGTTGAGGACCTAATCCAACATCCAACATATCACAAGTATCATTCCACGACGATGGCGGAGGGCTAGGCTCAGCTGAGAGTGGGAGATTGATATCCGGCGGTAAGCTAAGATCCACCGCCCGATTCAGCTCCCTCTCCATCTCATCATGTGCTGACAAACTCGAATCCATGGAGAGAATTGTCGATAAATGATTGTTGTCCATGGATAAGGTGGTCAGCAAATCTCCGCCCAATTTCTCTTTTGCGGGCATTATCGTATTTGTATCTTCTTCGGTGGAATCTTTAGTCCCACCACAATCAACACTCAACAGCATGAGAAGAACCTCATATAATCATATCCTAAAACTAAATCAAATGAAAAAAAAGATGCCCCTCTTATACGGTAATTTCCCCGAATCAATTCACAGCATACCCAATATGAGTAATACTGCAGGGAAAACAACTAAACCACCCCATATACATGTTTAAAATCACAAAACCAAGAAAAATTTCCACCAATTTATGATATAACCCGATTCAGGTATCACAGGAATCGATCGACAAATAGAATTAAATTCACGGTAGATGAACGATCAACGAAACCCTAACCCTAGAGAAATCAATATACTGATAAGATATCAGGGATAGGATCGAACGATACCTTTGCAAACAGCGCATTTGATCGCCGACACCAAGGAAAAACGAGATTTGGGGGAAACTCCGTGATATTAACCCTAGAGAGAGAAAGATAGCGGTGTTAACGGAGGAAGGAGAGACGGTGCCGTGTGTGGGTTTGGCGCTGTGAGAAGGGGCCTACACCAGTTGAAACCGCGGGGTTTGTTTCGACGACCGAAAAATAAACGCCGTTAATATTAACACCGTTTCTCCACTTTTATGAAAGGATCGTGTGTATTCCCCGCGACGTTTGTATTTTATAAATACAATATCCTCGTTTCGTCCTAGAATAAGATATATACTTTGTTGTCATCAAATTAAATAATAAATCAATTAAAAACTATCAATAAATTAATTTATTAATTAAAATTAAAATTAAAAAAATAGTTAATTTTGTATTATGTTTATTACTAAAAAAAATTCAAATATAATATCAAAGAATTCTAATATTAAAAAAATAAATATACAAAAAATCTGATATCTGTAATTGGTTGAGTTTTCAAGACAATTATTATTATTTTTTTAAATTTGTCATCAAACCAGGCCTTTAAACCATGCTACAACCACACTCGACGTATAAGATTTTTGGGGAGAGTTGACCTGGTCAAGAATTTAAATTTTCTCAGTGTCGCTTAAAGTTTTTCCACCTACTAATTTCATGGCATTATAGGATTACTCGAAATGTGCATAAACTTATCCAAACACCTATAATTATGAGGGGAAAAGAGGATGAGACATGTCGTTTACAAATATCATTAGTAAAGCCCATGATCATATTCACTAAATCCGACAGGTTTTGTGACAATTTAACTAATAAATTCAATTAAGGCCAAGGTTTGACTTCCCCAAAACCTTTATGAATTCACAAAATCAAACCTATGTTGGTACGAAAAGCCGGCTTCTCGTGTATGTATAATATATATATATATATGTGTGTGTGTGTGTGTGTGTGTGTTCAGCATGTATTACTTTAAGAACATATTTAAAGCCCATGAATTTCTAATTGACGTGTCTTAATCCATAATCTTGTTGGCATTGAGTTTTAAATTCATAATCCTTATAATTGAAAACTGAACAACGTATCAGTTATGCCATATATTAGAAAGTTATTGTTATTTTTATATATTTATATATTTATATAAGAATAATGATTGAATTAAAACAATATATATATATATAGACTTTTCAAACTCAAAGTTGGTACTATATATCGATACTAAAAATTTAAATAAAATATGTGCATAATAAATATTTTAAGTTATGCGGATGTCATATATAATATGCATCTTAAATTCAAATAATTGAGTATATTGTATGTGATAATAATTAACTTTGCACCATATAATATAATTTTTAAAAGGGTTGAACATGTAAAGACCAAAAACATATTTTTATTTTAATATATAACATTTATGTACAATAAATATTTACGTATAATTCCTTGATTTTAGTAAAGTTTAAATCATTTAATTCTTAGAAAAACTAGTTGTTATCATTAACTTGAATACTGCTGGACCAAAAGTCATCTGGTTAAATAAACATATTGTTGGGTCAGCAGACTCGGTGTTCCCTCGGCAGGTCAAATCCTCGTCCTTAAACCCACCGCTCCTGTAGCAATGCAGGAGCATCCCACATCGGTGAGGCTAGGGAGTCTTCTCTT